AGATCTTTCTCCTGATTATCTATGGCAACACATTGTGTTGGGAGGGTTGAGGCGGTCCTGCTCTATGCAGTAGGCCAAGATACTCGGTGCGGGCCGACTGTAAGTCGTAGGCATGGAGACTCAAGAGGAGCAGTAGGGTTGAGGCAGTAGGCCTAGATAACAGGTGCGGGTCGATTGTAAGTCGTAGGCACGGAGACTCAGGAGGAGCAGTAGGGTTAAGGCAGTAGGCCAAGATACTGGTGCGGGCTGACTGTAATTCGTAGGCGCGGAGGCCCAAAAGGAGTGGTAGAGTTGAGGCGGTAGGCCGACAAACCCTGAGAATTTCAATCCGGTGGTTGATTGGATTCGATATGTTGATATTCCAGCCCGAGGCTGATCGGGCCAGTCATCGTGTTTGTGGTTATGCACTAGCAGTTGGCTGTTACTGCGTGTAGGTTCGGGAGCTGAAGGAAGTATTATACTGGTAGCACGAGAAGGGTTCATCTCCCAGTTTACCTCCCGTTGTTCGTGTTATCCCTGAAAGTTCGGTCATTGAATGATCCTTCCCTTGAAAGAATATATATAATCTCTTTTCCAGCAGAGAATTAACGGCAACCGCGTATGATCCATGACTTTGTTCCGACGAAAACTTTAGGTTTTCAGGATGTGATCCGCTTCAGGAAGAAGAGAAATTGGGTTCTCGATATATCGGGCCATTCGAGTTTTTCAAGGTTGGCAAGACGGCGTATCGATTGGGTCTTCCGGAGGAGCTCAGTCAGATTCATGGCACTTCTCATGTTTCGCAGTTGCAAAAGTATGTGTCAGACGAGGATGGCGTGGCATCATTGGGTGAAATTCAGGCCGAAGAGCGCCCGAACTACGCAAAGAGACCAGTGGTCGTTGTGGAAAGGAAGGTGAAGATTCTACGCAGCAAGGAAATACCTTTGGAAAGGGTGTAATGGGAGCATCGGAGGGAATCCAAGTAGACTTGGAAGCCGGTGGCTGTGATGCAAGAGCGTTATCTGAATTTGTTCACCGCAGCAGGCTTCGAGGACGAAGCGTAGTTTAAGTGGGGGAGAGTTGTAACATCTCGATTTCCAGGAGTGAGATTTTTGGGATTTTTATGCAAATAAGGAAGCCTACTCGACGAGTTGGAGGCCCAAACTCGTCGTGTAGAGACTAGCCAACCCGCGTGACTTTTAGCACCTACTCGACGAGTTGGAGGACCCAACTCGTCGATTTGGAGCTGGAATATGAAACCCTAATTTCCAGGGTTTTGCACCCTATTTAAAAAGTAACAACACTATTTCATATTCCAGCATGGCAATGATATGATATGGTTGTTTTATTAAAAAGTAACAACACTATTTCAATAAGATAATTATATTACTATATACTATACAATTGTCTTCGATTTGATGGGATTGTTGCTAACGTTAATATGACCTATGGAATAATCGAATAGTTACATGTTTAGTCTGTTGGATTAACTTCATAGTTACAAGTTTTGTCCCTGTAGTTTATAATTTTAAGAAAGATCACCATAAATGGTCCATATGGTTTTCCCATAATCTGGGCTTTAGTCTGTAACTTTTTTTGTATTCAAGGAAGTTCATGTGGTTTCAATTTCAATCATTGTTGGTTCTTCACCCATATATAAAGACATTTATACCATTTTTTATTTTATATTATATTTTCTTTTAACAAATTTTAAATTAAAAAAAAGAAATTAAAACCCCCATCCTTACACCTTTCCTACCCCACCCCTTCTACCTTTTTTTACTGCGTCCTCTCCCCTTTCATATTGAAGCCATCACCGCTGTTGAATATGACGTGCTGAATCCGACTACCTCTCGACTCTGAGGAAAAGACAACAATGTCAATGATGTTTCTCTGTCCTTCATCTCCGACAACCATGCCATTGTTTTCCCTTCTACCCTTTTGACAATTGTCATTTCATCCACTATGCGACACCACCTCCAAAATCAAATTGACAGGGGCTGTTGTGTGCTTTGTTCACACATGTATCAAACAAGAAATCAGACCCCCCCTTTTTTCTTCTCAACATCGCACAAATCCACACCATCTTCTCCTTTTAATTTTCGAGTTTTTGGTTCTAATTTCTTGCTAATATGAAAAATACGAAGATGTGGTGATGGTGGGTTGGCGATTGTTTGAAAAAGATAAAGGGTGGGATGTGGTTAGTGTAGGGATGTTGTTCAATCTCTTTTTTTTCTTGGCAAATGTGGTGTTGGTTGATTGTTTGACGGTGATTATGGTGGTCGATAGTGTTTTAATGATGGTTGTGATGATCTACAAGTAAGGAGAGGGTGAATGAGGTTGTAAGGATAGTTTGTTTGTTATGACTGAAGATTGTCGTGTTGGTGATTTCTAGTGGGGGATGAAGGTCTCGAAGGTGTTTGATGGTGGATAGAATGAAGGGACAATGGTCATTTGTGGTGGTAGAATGTGGCAACTTGATGGTGATATTGGCTAAGTAAACAGGGAAGAAGGGTTGAAATCAACGGTGGTTGTTGGTGGTGTTGAAAAGAAGGTGAGTTATGGTAATGTAGGAATCTGATATCGAAAACGATTACTAGATCCGACGATGACAATTGTTCTTCCAGTAGTGGTGACGGTGACTTTGGAGAGGTTTCCGACGGTGGTGTATTTGGTGGTCCATGTTTAAGGTTGTTAGTGTAGAGTGGGACCCAGTGTATATTAAATAATTTATTTCATTATTTTAAATAATTTTATTTAAAGAAATTAACAAAGGTGTATAAATATTTTTATGTGGGTGATGGACCAACCACGATAGAAATTAAAGACCATAAGGACTTTCCTTTTTGGAAGTTAGACACTAAAACCCAAATTTTGGAATACCACATGAACCATTTACAAAGTTTTATCTAATTTTATTAACTACAAATTTAGCCTCTATAGTTTTTATTTTTAGTAATTACATTTCAATCATTATAATTTATAATTTTCATTAAATACTTTGTTCATTGTAAGATATTAGTTTAAGAAAAGTATAGTTTTAGTCTATATAGTTTTGGATTTATAGATTTTGTTCCTATAGTTTTTAATTTTAATAATTATTGATTCAGTCCTACAATTTATAACTTGCATTAGTTAAAACTTTGGTCCTTATAATCTAGTACACCCTTAGTTTAATACACCCCAACTAGTTTAATACATTAGCCATTATTAAAAGGGATAACGACTTAAAATGGTAACCTATTTTTTGATGAGAAATTAAATATCTTCCTACCTTTTAACCCTACCAATCCTCCTACCCATTTAAATGATGACATGTGTCATATGAGTATCCTAAAATATCATTAAATCTCATTAAATAAGCATTAAATGTTACACATGTCACTATTTCATTGGGTAGGAGGATATGTAGGAACAAAAAGTAGCAGGATATTTAATTTCTCTTTTTTTGATTTGTACACATTTAGATACTGAGTTTTTTTGTCTATATTTTCCCATTGAACTTATTTGAAGTGTTCAAAAAACATTCTTATGACATGCTATAGTAGGTTTCTGGAATATTTGGCAGCTTCGATGATCTTTACAACTCCAACGAGACCCCAGTTATCTTCTTCAACGATTTTCGGGCCAACAATGCTTTTTCCGGTGAGATTTCGGTCATCTTCTTCGGCCAACATGTTTTTCCAGCAATCATTTCTCCCGGTAAACATGATTTTTCCGGCGTGACTCCCTTATACATAGGTTGTTTGATGGGAAGCAGTAAGAAGCATACACACATACACATACTATATGTGTGTCGATCGCGGGTAGAGAAAAAGGGTAAGAAATAGAGGGTTGGAGAGGGAAACGAGAGAGATCGAAACAGGGAGGAGGAACCGAAAATTTGAGAAAGAGGGATGTGTTATGAAAGAAGAAGAAGGCCGCATATGGCGGTATAAGGTGTCCGGAGGATAAGATGATGGTGTCCGATGGCGATTGAAAGGTGGTCTTGGGGTTCCGACAAAGCAGGTAAGGTGATTGATGGAAGCAACAATGGTGGTTGTGAGCTTCGGTTGTAACAGATGGCGATGGAAGGTGTTGGCAGGTGGTTTGTGGTGGTGAAGGTCTCGATTGTAATGGTGGCTTGGAGGTTGAAGACGATCAACATTAAACGGTTTTAATGGTGGCCGGAGAAGATGTACATAATCTTGCCAGAAAAACATTGTTGGCTGGAGCCTCGTTAGAGAAGATAACAGAAGTCTCGTCAGAGCTGCCAAATATGTTAGAAACCTACTATAGCATGTCATAAGGATGTTTTTTTAACAGTTCAAACAAATTCAATGTGAAAATATGAAAAAAAAAAAAAACTCAATGACTAAATGTATACAAATAAGAAAAGCAGATTATATTTTTAAGTGATTTTCCGTTACTAAAACCATAAAATATTACTTTTCCTTTTCTTTCTTTCATTTATTTTTGAATTCTCATGCCGCAACAACTTTATATTAAACAATCTAAATTACATATTTCAAAACGCAAACTAAAAATCCGACTACAAAATTTTAGTAAGTAATAAAAAATAGTAACGACATATGATTTAAATAGTAAACATTTTAAACCCAACGGATTTGATTTTCCAAAATTTCTAAATCAGTCTAATACAAAACGTTAGCGTGTGCGTTTAACATTTTCCGAATCAATATCTATTTATACATAGAAACAATTTAAATTCAAGGATTCTTTAATAAAATTTAGAAAGTTACCATAATACTATGTAATTATTTATGGTAAAAATTGCAAACATAACAGAATTAATTTTCCAAAATTTCCATATCAATCGAATGCAAAATGTTAGCGATACGTCTGTGTTTGATAGAATCAATGAGATGTATGAAATGCGATTCACATGAACATGAACTTCAAAAATCACTAAAAACCATTGTAATTTCCAAATTGATAATCATAACCCAATTAATCACTAATAACCATTAAAATTCCACAAATCAAACTAAGAAAATCAAGCATTAAACAACAATCAAAATTCAAAAGAAAATACCCGAAATTGATACGATAACCAGCACTAGGAAGATCGCCGGAACTTTACGTCTATCACCACCGCTTACATTGTTGCTTCCCATGTCGGCGGTAGGGTTATCCGCCGGTGGAGCACCACCAACCGGTGATGAATCTGGAGGAATCGTAGGAGCCGGAGGTGGTATCACCGGTTGGGTTCCGGCAATATGTGCCGGTGAGGGAGCAATTGGTGTAGGACTAGAACCCGGCGCTGGAGCAGATACAGATGGCGGCGAAGATTCCGGGGCCGGCGGTGATGCAGTGGCGGGAGCTCGTCGTTTGGCGAATAACTCCATCGGAAGAAGAACCTTATCAATCATGAAAATGCACACCGGCACTGCATCACTAACCATCTTTAGAACACGCGAATCGTCAACACCAGAATTGAGCATTAAAGAATTCCCGTAGGTTTGAATCGTGAAAGCAAACTTTCCGGCGTTGTTTGTGGCAAGCGTAGGCATTGGATCCTTCTCATTTTCCAAAGTAATTTCAGGAACATAACTTGGAATCGCATGATACAGTAACAACGAAACAAGCTCAGCGTTCGTCAAGTTGTTCAAATCCGGTGCTCCGGTGTACTTAAACGCTAAATCCGTCGGTGCAAACACCGTCAGCGCCTGCTCCGCCACCTTCTTGTAAATATCCAGTACACCGGTGCTTTTAAGCAACTTCAAAAACGTCCGACACCTCACCGCGTCCAACAAAGTACTAAAATTAACATCTGATGGCTTTGGTAAAATCTCAAGATTAATGATCGGTGAATTAATTTCTAAAACAGAAATATTATAAGGAAATTCTTTCACGCTTTTGGTATACAACGATTCGATCTTTGATTCTTTATCCGCCGATCCGAATTCGATTTTACCACCTTTCAAATCTGTAATATTAACAAATCCGGTACTTCCGGCGGCATTTCCGGTGGTCTGGTAGAGGGTGGTGGAGATCATACTTCCGCCGCCAATCGTCAGAAGCTTCGCCATGTCAAAATAATCCAAAAGAACATGAATGCTTAAAGCAGGTTTGACGACGGAAAGCGATTGATTCGCGACGAATTTTGTCATGACGGAGTTGTTCAACACCAGAACAGTGATTGTTTCTCGTCTGTTGATCTCGTCGTCGAGTCTTGTTTGTGTGAGGTAGTCGTTGAAGACGCTGTATTCCGGAAATTCTGACAAGATATCGGTGATGTTGTGACCGGAGACGGAGGAGACGGCGGCGGCGATGAACCATAGTGTGAGGACTATGATGCGTAAACGTAAAGGATACATGGTGGCGCACTTAGAAACGAAGGGGAGGGGGTTACGAATTAAAAGGAGGAATATGATTAGTTCAAATGGTTTATGAGGGTTTAAGAGATTTTAAGTTTTTAACCAAGAATAGGTTAACTAAACTATGGTAAGATTTAAAAGTGGCCTAATAAAATGGAAACCAAAAGAATTAGCAACCAGAAACATGTCATTTGACAAAATTTATACATACAAGTATATTTGTATTTTTCAATTAAATATTTATATATAATTGTAATATTTTTATTTTTGTTAAAAAAATATAAATATGTATTTAGACCATCTCCAACTCTTATATAGTATTTGATAGGGACAGGGACAAAAATAGGGACAAAAATATGTTTGGTGATAGGGAAATGTAACGCTTATCCGGAGTAGGATAGAAACCCACGCATGGAAGCTTAGGTGGCATCCCAAAAGACTCGTGAACACCGCCCCAAAGGCTGGTGGTTTAGGTGTGGAGTGAATGCAAAGACGAACGAAGACAGTCAATGAGATTAAAGATGTGTCAGATTCGAACGTTTTGTGGGTTGTGGGTTTTTAGCCCTTGGGGTAACATCCCGAAATCAGGTATATATTTTATTATCTCTTGAATCTTTATCAAAAGTAGCACATTTGGTCCCTCAAAGAAAAAAGCTTGCAAAAGTGGTAGTACGCAGGGCGTACATATGAGTACGCGCAGCATACTCATGCAGTGTGCATGATCGCGGATGGCCAGCTAGTACGCTGCGCGTACATGTGGTACGCTGGGCATACTAGCCTAGATGTTTAGCCCTAATTTTAAGGGTTGCCCCTATTTAAAGAACATTATGACTTCATTTCTGGCCACCTTATCAGCCTCCAACCCTCTAATATATCCTAATCTCGTGTGAGTTGCTTGTGTGTGAGATATTGCAAGTTTTGAGTGTTCTTGGCTCTTGTAGTAGAAAAAGGAGGTTAGAGAAGAAGAAGAAGGTACTAGCAAGCTTGAAGATCCAGAAACTTCCCATCTTTGTGCATCACTTTCAGGTATAAAGTCTATACCTTGGCAAATTTTCTTTAAGATCTCTTTGGTTTAAGATTTATGAGCTAAAAGTCCCCAAGTTTGGACCTTTATGAGTTTGGGACTCTCCAGAAGGTTTTAGTTGTCCTTTTAAGCATATTAGTGTTGGATTAGGTGTTTAAGCCCATAACTATTTTGGTATGTACCTGACCCGATTATGAGCATGGTCCTTTTGGGTTGCCTTCAACATAGCAACTGATAGGATGAATTAAGGAGAAAGAGAATTAATTATGATTTATTAATATATTATGTGAATAATATATTAAAAGAGAAATCATATTGTTTAATTAATATTGATCAAAATTAATTTAGAATTAATTTTGTGGTCAAAAGAGATTAATTAAACTTGGGGGACTAATATTATAATTATAAGATAATTGCATTGTGGGCCGAGGAACCCTTGGAAAGGGGTTGGATGAAATCCTTATGGATAGCCCATAAGATTTTGTCCAAAGGGAGATTCTGGAAGGATCTTGTGGGCTGCATAGAGCCTAAGCAACCAGATAAGGCCTTTTAGTGAAACCCTAATTCCTCAGCTATATAAGGATACCCCAGGCATCCTAAAATCGCCACTTGAACCCTAGAGGGTGTTGGATTAGGTGTCTAAGCCCATAACTATAATTGGTATGTACTTGAATTGATAGCAACACAATCCTTTTTGGGTTGCCCTCAACCTAGCAACTGGACAAGGAAATTATGAAAAGAGAGATATTAATTTATAAGATTAATAAATTAATATAAATGATTTATTAATATGTTAAAAGATTAATATATTAATTAGAAATCATTATGTTTAATTAAAAGTTAGCCAGAAATTAATCAGAATTAATTTTGGGGTTAAAGCATTAATTATAAAGTGCAGGGACTAGTTTGCAATTATCTAATAGTTAAGTGGAAGACTCCAGAACCTCCTTGGAAGGAGGTGGACGAAATCTATAGGGGAAACCCTAAGGATTTCGTCCGAGGGGCTTTGGATAAGGCCTTTGGATTAGCTTAGGCCCCAAGCAAAGGAGTATTAGGGTTTTCCCTAAACCCTAGATCCCTCAGCTATATAAGGAGCCTCCCAGCTCCTAAATTCGGTGACTCCTTCTTTGGTGAAACCCTAGGGCCGATTTTGCATACTCTCTCTCTCTCTCCTTCAAGTTTCCTTCTTGCTAGTTCTTGGGTGTGATTCCATTAGAGGCATTACATTTGTGGTGCTAGGCTTCCAAGAAGATCAAGTTCAAGAGGATTATCAATTGTTTACTATAACAATTGAAAGGTATGTAACTCTTAAACCCTAGTTAGTTATTTTCGAAAATAGCCTCTCTCCTCTAGGGTTCTTGTTTGCAATTCAAAGTTATATGTTCAATAGTGAAAACATAGATCCAAAGTAGGTTGCATGTGAACTTAGGAATTGTTTTCTAGTTTATTTGTTTTACCTAAAACCCATCAGAGGGAACCCTGGACGATTTTGTGCCTCCTCCTCCTTCTCCTAAGTCATCTTGTTGCTAGTGGTGTTTGTGACTCCATTAGAGGTGGAACATTTGCGGCACTAAGCTTTCAAAGGTCAAGGATATTCAAGAAGAACTTGTTATTACTACATAACAAGAAAGGTAAGATCTAAACCCTAGTTTATATGTCAATATGATTGTTGTATGCTAGTTCTTAGGATCATTGCTTTGGTATTCAGTGTTGTTATGTTCATAGTAGAAAACCTAGATCAAAGCAATTGGGGGTTGCATGAACACCATAGGAATGATGTTATGCTCAAAACCCATCAGTGATATCAAAGCCTAAGTCGTTTTTCTAGTGAATAGATGCAAAAGTGGATTGCCAAAGTTCAAGAAAATCGATTTTTTTGCCTTCTAACTGGCTGACCCACCGAGTCCATGTATGGACTCGACGAGTAGGTCCTACTCGACGAGTTACATAGTGGACTCGACGAGTCCAAGGGTCTGTTGCCGGATTTTTCGATTTTCTTGCCAGATTTTGTTGAGGATTACTTCCAAAACTCATTTTTCTTGCCTAAAATCAATTTTTTTATGTTTGGAATGGTTATCCTTATCAAAATTGATGGATTTGGTTAAAAATGGATAATATAGGATTATTATAAGTCAAATATTTGACCTAGTAAGTTTGAAAAGTTTCAATTTACACCCTTTAGATTTTATAGTTTAAATTTGAACTTAAAAGTTTTAGTTTTTGAAATTTAAATAGTTAAACCCTAATATTTTGAAAGGTTTCAAAATTTGTCCTCAAGTTTTGGAATTTAAAATTTAATTAAAAGGTATTAATTTTGAAATATTGAATTCTAAATCCCTAGTACTTCGAAAAGTTCAAATTACACCGTTATGGTTTTATTAAATAAATTAAGTGTTTAATTAAAAGAGATAATTAATAAATCCATAATTATATGGTTTAAGTTAATCAAATTAAAAGTTTTAATTTATTAATAGATTAAGCCACATAGTATTTTAAAATTGTAAAATACACCCTTATACTATATAACATTTAAAGGTTTAACATACTAAATATGTATGAGTACAAGGTCAGTCTTACCGTTAGTAGGCCTCATTCACGAAGCTGGTCTCTAAGGGGTGTTTAAGGAAATTGCCTATAAAATGGCGATTGAATGGGTATCCACTCTTACCCACCGCACCCTTGACTAGTGGAGAGTCGTTAGCCGAACGGGTAGGATAGGACACAACCTTCCATTATAAGTATAATGTAATACAAGTAACTAAAATTTTATAAATTCCCAAATCTTACTTACTTAGGAAAAATGTGAATTTGATGCTAACCCATGAAATTACACTTTGCACCTTGCTGAGACGTTAGTGGAGCGTGTGTGGTTAACCGGCACACTAATTTGGGACTGGCAAGGATGGCAGAGGGTGACTCGATGTTTGTCATAGATCAATGGAGCGTGTGTGGTTAACCGACACATTGATTAGGTAATAGTGACATTGAGGGTACCAAGTATATTTGCATGGTTATTCACACCTTGTTTGTGATCCTCGGCATCCCAGTCACAAACTTGAAGGGCATAATCGAGATAAAACATGTCATTGAAAAGTTCAATGAATCTAAAAAGATCTAGGAGTTTCAATTCATCTAAAACCTAAATTCCTTTTCGAGTTTTTTATGGTGGACATTGGTAAATCGTCATTTACCTACCTTCAAATGTTCTGCAACCGGATTACGGCATCCCTCTTCCGAGTTGTAGAATATTGTGTTGGATCCTAGCCTTGATATTTCATTTGGGTGTTATATCAAGGATTCTTATCAACTAACTTGAATTTTTCCCGTTTTGTAGATGTCAAAATCTAACTATGGTCTTTCCGAATCCTTTGGAAAAGGTTTTCCACATGAAGATGATGTTCCACAATTGGATTATGGAAATGGAAATCATGCTTCACTTCCTCCACCTCCTCCAATTATTCTCCCTGACCCACAAGTTCAAAGACTTGAAAAGTTCAAGATCACTCAAGCCCAATTGGAAAAAAGACATGAAAATGGAAAGTCTGTATGTGCTCACGTCTTGGACATGAAGCTGCATTTTGACAAGTTAGGAAAGTTGGGTGTCGAAGTCTCAAGGAAGTTGGCTGTTGACTGGGTTCTTCAATCACTTCCTGACTCATATAGTGAGTTCATTAGAGAGTACTATATGATGGAACACGACATGACCCTCATTGATTTGGCTTATTTGCTTGTTGCTGCTGAACCAACAATGATTTGGCGCACTGGTCAAGCAAATATGTCTAGTAAATCAATGTCCCAAACTTCCATGGACATTGACAATGGCAACATTGGAAGTCCAAAAGGATTTTCTCTAGGCAAGAGAAAGGCTAAGTATGAGATTGTCCCGTGTACCATTCTAAAAGAGTCCATTTGTTTCTATTGCCAAGAGAAGGGGCATTGGATGCGAAGCTGCCAGATTTACCTGAGAGATCGCGAA